CCTGCCCCGGAGGTGACCACATGGCGCGGCAGACCTCTCCTGACCCGCCTGCTGCTCCCCTCAGCAGTGGACTTCGTCAGGCAGCCTGTTCTGCTTCCGGCTCTGTCTCTGGCGAATCCTCTCACCGTCCCTGCACCTCTGGCCTGTACCCCAGTTCCATATGCACAAATAAATAAATCTTAAAAATAAATAAAGAAATAAATAATGTAGGTAGCTTTCCACATCTCAAGATTGCTTTGAAAAGAGGATTATATCGATCTATTCACATATTAAGAAAAGAAATAGTAAAGACATAAATAGCAAAGAAGATTTGGCATTATCTGGCAAAGATCTCTAGAAGTTCTAACCTTTATTTAGTAAATGTGGTATGCTAGCGTTGGACTGAGAGATGATCCAACAGCTGTTCAGGCTGAGGTTACATGATGGTTACACAGAAATGGAAAGATACAGTTTTGGTTTGGGCTACATGTTGATCATGGGGATTTATAAACATTTTTCTGACTCTAACATTCATGAGTTTATAGTAATATCAAAATAATAAACATGAAAAATCACAAAGTCCAAGTTACCTTTGTTTTGTGCATAAAGAGGATCCGATTTTCCACAATGTGCTTCACTTTTGATTTAAAACTGAAAAGGGGAATTGGCCTCTGGTTGATGTCCATAAATGAAACATAAATTACATATACAGCCTTTACTATGTGGAAGTACATGCCCACTACATCTTACTTGTAGTGTCTGTCATGAAAGTATAATGAATTTTGCCAAATGTTGTGTGTGACTCATTTGGTGCTCATGACTATTTGTATGACTACACAAAGCCACAGAGCAGTCTATAAAATTTGGAAGAATAGAGTTGGAAAACTTAGGGTCCATAACATAATAAGGTACTATGAAGCTAATTCACAGAGTTCAGTATTATAGACATGAACACATTAGAATCTCCTACAGCAATACAATCAATGATAAAACACAGGTGACATTCATCAGCAAAGAATATTTCTCAATTAATGGCACTGAAATGTGTTGAGGAAACAACTTCTCATTTAAAAATACTTCTCCCTTATGCAAAACTCACTGTGCAAAAGAATTTTAAGATAATTATTGACAGGAAAGAGTGAAATAGTAAAACAATGATTATTAAAACATTTGTATTTGAAAGTTTCCATAGTTACTGTACTTGTGGATTCATGTTGTATATTAGCCAATATTTGTTCCTCGTACTGAAAAATCATTATCTACATAAATTCTGTGGAAAAGTTGAAAAGTTATTTTTCCAAAACTGTGTTTCATCCATGGTTTCAGAGCATGAAAAGACATCAAATGATGTTTGGGACCTTCTATAAATCAATGTTAGATTGCCTTTTTCTATCATTTATTATTCAATCTCTTTTTCATGATGTTTTATTACTGTTTCCTTTCCTCACTTGATAGAAAGTCTTATTTTTACATTTGAAAAAATATCTTTCATCTCACTATTTGTCTTTCCTTGTGTTATATGCTGATGAGCCCATCTTTGATTTTTGAATTGAGATCACTACACACTATACTTATATATGGCCTTTTTACCTTTTTTTTTTTTTTAAGATTATTTATTTGTGCATACAGACCTAGAGTACAGGCCAGAGGCTC